CTGAAGATTTCACTATTAAGCTGGTAGACTTTGGCTCGGCTGCCTACCTAGAACCGGACAAGCTGTTCTACACGTTTTGTGGAACTATTGAGTACTGCTCTCCAGAAGTGCTGTCAGGCAATCCGTATGTATTATTTTTAACGTTAAACTTTTATACCTCACCAGCAGTCTTTGATTTGGCTGGGGGCAGGGCCTGTAGGGTCTCCAAGAATGAAATGGAGCAAAGACAGTGTCTCCTTCAGAGGGGCTTCACCTTCCTTATTACATTTTTTGAGGTTATTCCAGAGTTCTCTCTGACTGCTGACAGACATGCAGGTGCACATCACTCCTTCAACACTGCTTTTCAGTTATTTATTTATTACACTGCTTTTCAGTTATTTATTTATTTATTAACTTCATTTATACCTCACCTTTCTCCCCAGTGGGGACCCAAAGCGGCTTACATCGTTCTACATTTTTATCTTCACAACAACCCTGTGAGGTAGGTTAGGCTGAGAGTATGTGACTGGCCCAAGTTCACCCAGCAGGCTTCCATGGTATAGTGGGGATTTGAACCTGGGTCTCCCAGATCCTAGTCAACTTCAAACACTACTACATCCTCTTAAGCTTCAGACGGGGGGGGGGGGGGGAATTATGTGTTGGGTCATGAGAAGGAGGAATTTCTTATTTAGCACAAATCCTAATTTGGGGGGTGTGTTTTTTTATACGTGACTTTTTGTTCTGTGTTCCTGTTTTGCTTGACTTTCTTGCAAATATAATTATAGTCTTGCTTCTTGAACTACATATATCATTATAGGTATCTAGGACCAGAACTGGAGATGTGGTCTCTTGGAATCACCCTTTATACGTTAGTCTTTGGAGAAAATCCTTTTTGTGAGCTGGAAGAAACCATGGAGGCCATTTTAAAACCTCCCTTCAGTGTGTCGGCAGGTAGGCATTTCACTCACTAATGTATTCAAGGAATCAGAAAGCAAGAGGGAAGAAATTGGCCTGCAAGTGGGGTATTCTGAGCACCTTATAAGGCGAGCCCATTAGGGATCATGCACCCCATCTGGAGTGTCTAAATAAACATACGTCCAGTTTTTCCTGTTGTATCTCGAGTGGCCTGGTGCCACTTGGTGGTGAAGGATCTGTGGTGCCATGACTGCCATTAAATGCTGACATGAGCTCCTGTTGAGCATCTAGAAGTGGAA